TCAACCTTGGCTTCCTCCCATTGTTATTGTATTATTACCTACCCGGTCTGCTATGTATATCTTGATCCGCTTCCTCAACCTTGGCTTCCTCCCATTGTTATTGTATTATTACCAACCCCATCTGCTATGTATATCTTGTTCCGCCTGCTCTACCTTGGTTTCCTCCCATCGTTATTGTATTATTACCTACCCCTTCTGCTATGTATACCTTGTTCCGCCTCCTCTACCTTGGTTTCCTCCCATTGTTATTGTATTATTACCTACCCCTTCTGCTATGTATACCTTGTTCCACCTCCTCTATTTTGGCTTCCTTCTACTGTTATTGTATTACTACCTACCCCATTTGCTATGTATATATTCTTCCGCTTCCTCAACCTTGGCTTCCTCCCATTGTTATTGTATTATTACCTACCCCATCTGCTATGTATATCTTGTTCCGCTTCCTCAACCTTGGCTTCTTCCCATTGTTATTGTATTATTACCTACCCCTTCTGCTATGTATACCTTGTTCCACCTCCTCTATTTTGGCTTCCTTCTACTGTTATTGTATTATTACTCTACCCCATTTGCTATGTATATATTCTTCCGCTTCCTCAACCTTGGCTTCCTCCCATTGTTATTGTATTATTACCTACCCCATCTGCTATGTATATCTTGTTCCGCTTCCTCAACCTTGGCTTCTTCCCATTGTTATTGTATTATTACCTACCCCATTTGCTATGTATATATTCTTCCGCTTCCTCAACCTTGGCTTCCTCCCATTGTTATTGTATTATTACCTACCCGGTCTGCTATGTATATCTTGTTCCGCTTCCTCAACCTTGGCTTCCTCCCATTGTTATTGTATTATTACCTACCCCATTTGCTATGTATATATTCTTCCGCTTCCTCAACCTTGGCTTCCTCCCATTGTTATTATATTATTACCTACCCTATCTGCTATGTATATCTTGTTCCGCCTGCTCTACCTTGGTTTCCTCCCATCGTTATTGTATTATTACCTACCCCATTTGCTATGTATACCTTGTTCCGCCTCCTGTACCTTGGTTTCCTCCCATTGTTATTGTATTATTACCTACCCCATCTGCTATGTACACCTTGTTCCGCCTCCTCTACCTTGGTTTCCTCCCATTGTTATTGTATTATTACCTACCCCATCTGCTATGTATACCTTGTTCCACCTCCTCTATTTTGGCTTCCTTCTACTGTTATTGTATTATTACCTACCCCATCTGCTATATATACCTTGTTCCGCTTCCTCAACCTTGGCTTCCTCCCATTGTTATTGTATTATTACCTACCCCATTTGCTATGTATATATTCTTTCGCTTCCTCAACCTTGGCTTCCTCCCATTGTTATTGTATTATTACCTACCCCATCTGCTATGTATATCTTGTTCCGCTTCCTCAACCTTGGCTTCTTCCCATTGTTATTGTATTATTACCTACCCCATTTGCTATGTATATATTCTTCCGCTTCCTCAACCTTGGCTTCCCTCCATTGTTATTGTATTATTACCTACCCGGTCTGCTATGTATATCTTGTTCCGCTTCCTCAACCTTGGCTTCCTCCCATTGTTATTGTATTATTACCTACCCGGTCTGCTATGTATATCTTGTTCCGCTTCCTCAACCTTGGCTTCCTCCCATTGTTATTATATTATTACCTACCCCATCTGCTATGTATATATTCTTCCGCTTCCTCAACCTTGGCTTCCTCCCATTGTTATTGTATTATTACCTACCCCATCTGCTATGTATATCTTGTTCCGCCTGCTCTACCTTGGTTTCCTCCCATCGTTATTGTATTATTACCTACCCCATCTGCTATGTATACCTTGTTCTGCCTCCTCTACCTTGGTTTCCTCCCATTGTTATTGTATTTTTACCTATCCCATCTGCTATGTATATCTTGTTCCGCCCCCTCCACCTTGGTTTCCTCCCATTGTTATTGTATTATTACCTACCCCATCTGCTATGTAGATCTTGTTCCGCTTCCTCAACCTTGGCTTCTTCCCATTGTTATTGTATTATTACCTACCCCATCTGCTATGTAGATCTTGTTCCGCCTCCTCTACCTTGCTTTCCTCCCATTGTTATTGTATTATTACCTATCCCATCTGCTTTGTATACCTTGTTCCGCCTCCTCAACATTGGTTTCCTCCCATTGTTATTGTATCATTACCTATCCCATCTGCTATGTATACCTTGTTCCGCCTCCTCTACCTTGGTTTCCTCCCATCGTTATTGTATTATTACCTATCCCATTGTTGTTGTTGCTAATCCCTTTGATGTACTCCCCCATGTTGTTTTACTTAATCCCTGTTACATGTATATAAGTGGGTTCTGTGCTGTATTACTTTACTCTTGCTTGACAACGGAATAAGAAGCTATACCGAAACGTCGCATCATAACAAATAAAGAAGTTGTTGTCCATAGAGTATTATACTTTTCTATGAGAAGGTAGCTGTTGTACGTGGAATAGAGTTAGGACGGAAGTGAACTACTTTGGATTTCTGCAGGTTTATACTCAGTCTGTTTGATATGCACCATCCATCTAGTACATGTAACAGTTGGTTCAGCCCTTCTTCAGTCTCCGCGATCCGACATAAGTCGTCAGCGTAAGCTAGGCATGGCACAGCGTAGCCATCAACTGTCACGCCGTGTCCACTGCTACTAAGGAAATAATCAAATCATTAATAAATAGATTAAATAAAAAGGGAGAGAGTAAACAGCCCTGTTTTAGTCCTCTTGAGTCTGGGAACCATGGTGAGTGTAATCCATTGATGCGTACACAACACTTTACATCAACGTATAGGGACTGGATAGCAGCCAGCAGTTTCCCATTCAAGCCTATAGTACTTAGATTATTCCACAGTATATGCCTCTCTAAATGGTCGTAAGCCTTTTTAAAGTCAATGAACGCGACATAAGTTGATTTTCTTCTTGACTTAGTGTCTCTATAATAGACGTTAATGACTGTATATGATCTATGATAGATCTCTGCCTCCAAAATCCGTTGTGACCGTCATGGAGAATGTCGTTCTTGCTTACAGCCTGTTATTCAGCACCCCGCAGTAAAGCTTGTACATTGCAGTAGTTAGGGTAAACCCTCTGTATGATGTCGGGTCCCGGGGATGTAGAGTGGAACTTTTAGGTATTGGTTGAATAATGCCCTTTGTCCATTACCGCGTGAAACAAACAGCCATCAAATATGGTATGCAGACTGTCTGATTTCAAGAGTTCTACTGGAACTCTACCTCCAGCTGCTTTACCAGTATTTGCTTTATGAATAGCTGTAGTTTTTTCAAACAGGGAAATCTGATCCTCAAAGTGCGGAATGGAATCTGTAGTCGGCTGTACTGAGACTACCTGAGAGTCATAATTGTCACCATTAAGAAGTTTTGAGAAATCTTCCTACCATTTGCATAGTACATCATTTTCATCCTACGATACCACTTCCTCTGAGGTCACTACCCTCAAAAGGACTCGACTTCTGTCGCTCATTACCCATTCCAGAACGTTCTATTTATTTCCAAAAATCTTTCTTATTTAGTTGACACATTATTTAGTTGACACATTATTTAGTTGACACATTATTTAGTTGACACATTATTTAGTTGTACACGTGCATCCCATCCGTTGTGTTTAGGGGTAGACATAAAGAGAAATGGTGGTGCGTTTATAAGATGTCTGTTTTTAAAAAGTGTGTTAATGCATATACTTCCTATCCAAATCGAAAGTTCAGGTTCCCCTACTTTTTATGAAGAGTATAATTAGATTTGTGTGCTGTGCTTTGACTTCTAGCGCAAGGAACATGCCTGGTGTGGAGTTTGCCCCTATATAAATGGACACATTATTATTAATTTGCGGAATGTAGATGTGTATCAAACAGTTAAAGTATATGGGATTTCACACCAGTGACATCTGTGACACGTAAGGTTTTGTGATTAAACATAATCCAGGTCACATGATCCAGAAGGAATGTATGAAATTATTACCGATAGTTACGGTTCGTAACAATTCAAACTAGTGAATTTTGTATAACACATAATCTCTGAAGAACCGGGTTCGAACTGATCTTCAGATATCCATACAAGAGGCGACTAACGGGATCGGGTGGTCAGACTCGCTGATTTGGTTGACACATGTCATCGTAACCCCATTGCGTAGATCGATGCACATGATATTGATCACGGTATTGTCTTGTCCAGAGTTGATTATTTACAGACCGCCGTCATATAGCTGGACCATTGCAGAGTGCGACGTTAAGCAACAAAGAAACAATTATAACACTCAGTACTGGTAACTATACCAGCGGTTGTATAGTTTTATAGTACTACATATCCTACTCAATTACCGTGTCGTAGTTTAAAGCGGTCACACTTCTCAGACGCGGTGCACTGAACACGAGTCCTTGTTTTATATCCATTTCTGCTAAACCTCAGGAAGGTTAACTACAGTTACTCCTTATAACATCTTTTGATGAGACACGGCCGGGAATCGACCACCGACCTTCCGCTCTCCTGCAAACACTCTATCCACTGGGCCATCGAAGCAGTCAAAAGGTTCTGAAATCATGTCAGGCTATTTCATTCATTCACTTTGGACACAGAGCTACATAAACAATCCTGGTCCAACCTAATAATTCCCTGTCGTTCATCATTACCTGTTCATGTGACCGTCCGTATCCTTCTGTTTCGGCCTACCTCCAATAAAAGCACGGTCAGCTTTATGCCAGTATTAAGGGCTACTTGACGTCTGCCAGTGCATGTCGTTAAGATGATTCAACGTCCATGTCCAAAACGAATAATTAAAGGTCAAGTGGTCTAATAGTCCTACTCCACTTGTCTCGAACTGTACAGAGGAAAGCTTCACGTATCATAGTCCTCAGGATCTGGAGTTCCTCTATGCAAAATATGTTTTAAAAAATCTTATCATCTGCCACTATCAACTGCCGTGAATATTATGAGGTAAAAATGACAGATAATATATGTCAGTATGCTTACTTATTTGTTTATTTTCATCATCAACACTCTACGACATTGTCTTGTTACAACCACTTTGACACGCCGGTGAAAAATCCACAAGTGGACAGAAACTGACGTCACACGTGACGTAGATGGTGTCATGGTGATGTGGCACATCGAAGACATCGAAGTAAAACCGTGTGAAGGAATCGACATGGCCGAGAATGTGGGTGAAATGGTTCGCCGCGCATCTGAAGGAGAAATATATGTCATGCTTTTTATACCATTATTCTATTCAAGTTCGGGGCTGTGGGGTAGGCCTAGTGATCAAACCCGGGTTCGATTCCCACATGGGTACACTGAGTGAAGCCACTTCTGGTGTCATATGACAGCTCAGGAATGTTGCTGTAATTGTAACCCAGGAACATTTTTTCGTTCTTTTTTTATAAAAATCTTGTTAAAAAAAACCCACAAAGTCCTGTCCACATTCATTTGAAATCTCTGCCAAAAGTAAAGTGAAATAACGATCCCGACATAAACTATATATATAATGAGCATCTGTGTATGGATCACTGTTAAACAGTGACGCCATCATGTGTTGATCTTAATGTACTGAAACTACAGGGACACCCTTGCTTACATGTATCATGTTTAATGTTTTGTTTCAGTCCTGTTTATCAATTACCTATGCTAGCGTTCATTCTGTTAACGACTTTGTAGAAAAATCATCTACCAAGGTGATAAGACTAGTGACCGGAATAGTGACACGTGATTTGGTGACTGACAACTTACCACAGAGCACGTGTTATCATTTGAAAACGATACCCTGAAGTCCTCTGTAACGTACCTATCCTGAATGAGAGCAGCTCGAGTAGAGTTGTCGCCCTTGATATGTTCACTGACGTAGCAGTTATCCACGAACAGTTTGGCCTGGGCTGACCCCTTCATCGCAACTTGAACATACACGCGTGACCCAAGGTTCACCTTCAGAGGATTTCCGTTCATTTGATTTTGGAAAGCATCGTCGCTGTAAAATGTTATCACTGCTCCATCTCCTGATAGGGTGTCGGTTGCCCCCACAGTCGCCACGTTAGTGTTGACAGGATTGAAGCTGATCGCCGCAGTTTCACGTTTGGGAAGGTCACATTCCAGGTTGTAGCGCCATCTTGCACCAACAACAATATCAGTTTGTGGATCTGTTTCATATTCGATGAGGTAATTGCTGAATTTAATCGACGTATTGTCTTCCTGAAACATATTGCAGGTAGAACAGAAGGTACTGATTAAGTCTGCGAGCGACTGTATGTGCCCACAAAATCATTTTTTCCTACTATACACGTACAAAAGGGGCTTGTATTGCTGAAAGTAATACGTCCTAGGTCCAACACTCGTTCAAGAGTACTTGTGTATATGTAGATGGCTGTCAGTGAATGTGTGTGAACGAGTGTGTGGAACTTGGACGTATTATTTACAGCAAAACAAGCCTCTGTTCGTACAGCCGCAGGGTGTTTGGTTGGTTGTTGTTTAACGCCGCACTCATATATATATATATATATATGTCCAGATATTTTTTCTTGTCAAATCTCCTGTATAAATTTATCTCCTTTACATATTAAATCTAATATATTTATATATATTTATAAATATAAACTATTTATCTCCTTCAGTGCAGATATATAGGAGAGTTGACAAGAAGAAATATCTGGACTAATATTTTATACATTTATTGCTTATACACCTGCAGAAATCACTTGTTCATATTTATATATATATATATATATATATATATATATATATATATATGCCGGCGGTATATGCCAATAATCTGGACAATCTGGAAAATCCAGTGATCGACAACATGAGCATCGATTTACGCCATTTCGACACGATGGCATGCGTCAACCAAGTCAGCGAGCCTGACCACTCGATCCCATTAGTCGCCTATTACGACAAGCATGGGTAACTGAAGATCAATTCTAACCCGGATCTTCACGGGTTTCATACGTCCAAATTACGAGCTGTCCTCTACCCGTAGTGCGTAGAGTTTGACGCAGTAACAGGTGGTTTCCTACCGTCGTTTTCGTGTTGCAGTCGTCGTAGGAGGAATTGAAGACAAGGACATCCCCGTCAAGGAAGCCGGGACAGAATTTGTTGGACATGTAGATGTTCTGGCTGACAGAGTTAGGGTATGCGTCATGCAGCTGTTGGATGTCCACCTTTACCTGCCAAGTCTCGGGTGAGCATGTAAGGTTTACCGTGTCTATGAGGCCTGGAGACAACATACCAAACGGTATTCAGAATCAGAATTATAATCAAAATATTATTTCAACGTACATTCTTGTAACTGGGGATGGTTATCAAAGAGATCGATAATCGTTATAATTAAATACCAATCGATTAGCGATAAATATTGGAGAAATAATTTTTGACCGAAAAAGCCAAAAAGTCCAAGAAATTGTCATATTTCACATCACTAATGAGTGGAGACATATCCGCAAATAAGTATGAACAAAACAGCGTCCAAAACAACATAATTTAGAATCAGCCTATAGATAAAGACGTTGCCTTGTGTGCTGTGAGTAAATTAACACCAAATTTCATAACAAAAGTTTATCTACGATATCATCGATGATACAATTTTCTTATTTAGAATACGATGATAATATTTTAATGATTAAAATACATAAAGGCGAGAACTGATGGATGTCAGCTTTTTTATTTTGAGGGACACGACATTTCGGAATGTATTCTTACTCCTTCATCAGGTGAAGTTATATCAATACAGTTTAAATATCAGATTAACTAAAGCATAAATTCGGTTGTGTAGCCAGGTTTATAGATCATAAACATACAACCAACCTTCTTCTGGAAACTTGTGTCGACTCAGGAAGAACCCAACCGACTCCATGTAAGCTTCACCACTGACCCGCACAGCAAAGGGACAGGCTGAAGAGTTACTTCTTATGGAGGTGAAATTGTACGAATCTTTAAAGCTAACGAAAGCGAGTCTGAGAGAAGTGTTCGACTGTGTCGTCCACGGTGCGTCAACGTCAATGTTAGACGTGCAGTCAGCGCTGGTGAAGATGATGACGTGACGCTGGTATTTCTTGTCATCAGTGTTCAGGTCTGGTATGAGATATTCTGTACCGTAGTCTTCAATAGGTGGGACAATACCTCCTGCTTTTCCAAATATTTGACGGACAAGTATCGGCTTTGTGCTGTGGATGTATACTGCCTCCGACCCCATCTTGGTGATTTGGTCATAGAATTCTGTTTCATGAAGATTAATTGTCTTGACACCAGTTGGTAGTTCAATGGTTACTGTCGTGTCATTATAAGCGGCCAAGATTCTACTTCTTAACATATCTGATGTTAGTGGCGGTGGTACAATATACTGTGTTCCCCAGGTTGTTACCGGAGGTACCTGACTCATGATAGTCTTACTGAAATAGTGTTGATAATACACGCCAGGAGACCCTGAGAACACTGCTACAGGTGCACTGCTCTCAATAATTGATCCTCCAAGATCACAATATTCCAACTGAGTTAAAATACGCCCAGCTATCTGAAACACATCTCTTTTATTCAATACTCTTGTAAGCTTGCTACCGCGACCGACATAGGTCCCGTGGACATAGTAAGTGCATTTAAAGTCGCTTTTAAAATGGAAGGTTACGGTTGTATTGTCAAACAGTGCAGCAATTCCCACAATCGGGTTGTTCGGCACTGATGCTACGATGTACCTATTAGACAAAGATTCTATAGGAAGTACGGGGTATCCAAAAGCTCCTACGTTGACGTGTCGTCGTAGGAAAATATAGAAGGAGACATCTGTTGTACACTCAAGTTCTATAGCCCGGTTGTCGACAAATATCCCTAAATATAATTCTTTTATGTAGGGTAGACTAAATTGTGTGAATGTGCTGTTGCCCCGAAGTTGGATGTCCGTACTGTTGCCGTCACTGTTAGTTAGCGTGCAGCTTCCTTCATGGGTATGGCCGATGGAGACGAACGGAACGTCTCGGTCCCGACCATTTGGGTACACCGAGAAAAGGGATGCGATGAATCGCTTTCCAGTGTGCTGGGTCCTACCTATTTAAGAGAGAACACACACAATTAGTTCACACATTAGCTATGCTTGTGTTTCATTTAGGATTAGCCCACCCTCAGGGTGCCGTTTCATTTAGATAACCCCACCCAGAGGGTATCGTTTCATTGAGGATTAACCCACCCTCTGGGTCCCGTTTCATTTAGGATTACCCCACTAACACCAGATCCCGTTTCATTCAGATTACCCCACCCTCTGGGTTGCGTTTCATTCAGATTACCCCACCCTCTGGCTTGCGTTTCATTTAAATTATCCCGCTCTCAGAGTCCCGTTCTATCCATGAATCTCACATTATTTCAGTTTTCACAATTTTTGCCGTTGAGCAAAATCCAAAATTTGCACTGTTATATAGTGAGAGTGATTTGTGCTAGGTTTTCAAGGTCAAGATGTTCCATTTATATTACCCCAGCCCTCAAGGTCCCGTTTATTGAAGATTACCCCACCCTCACGGTCCCGTTTATTAAAGATTACCCCAGCCCTCAAGGTCCCGTTTATTGAAGATTACCCCAGCCCTCAAGGTCCCGTTTATTGAGGATTACCCCAGCCTCGAGGTCCCGTTTATTGAAGATTACCCCAGCCCTCAAGGTCCCGTTTATTGAAGATTACCCCATCCCTCAAGGTTCCGTTTATTGAAGATTACCCCATCCCTCAAGGTCCCGTTTATTGAGGATTACCCCAGCCCTCAAGGTCCCGTTTATTGAGGATTACCCCAGCCCTCAAGGTCCCGTTTATTGAAGATTACTCCAGCCCTCAAGGTCCCGTTTATTGAAGATTACCCCAGCCCTCAAGGTCCCGTTTATTGAAGATTACCCCAGCCCTCAAGGTCCCGTTTATTGAAGATTACCCCATCCCTCAAGGTCCCGTTTATTGAAGATTACCCCAGTCCTCAAGGTCCCGTTTATTGAAATTTACCCCAGCCCTCAAGGTCAGGTTTATTGAAGATTACCCCAGCCCTCAACGTCCCGTTCATTGAGGATTACCCCACCCTCAAAGTCCCGTTTATTGAGGATTACCTCAGCCCTCAACGTCTCGTTTCATTGAGAATTACCCCAGCCCTCAAGGTCCCGTTTATTGAAGATTACCCCAGCCCTCAAGGTCCCGTTTATTGAAGATTACCCCAGCCCTCAAGGTCCCGTTTCATTGAGAATTACCCCAGCCCTCAAGGTCCCGTTTATTGAAGATTATCCCACCCTCGGGCTCCCGTTTCACTGAGTATTAGCCCACCTCAAGGTTCCGTTTCATTGAGGATTACCCCACCCTCTGTATCCCGTTTCATTTAGGATTACCCCACTAACACCGGGTCCCGTTTCATTCAGATTACCCCACCCTCTGGGTTGCGTTTCATTCAGATTACCCCACCCTCTGGCTTGCGTTTCCCGCTCTCAGGGTCCCATTTTATCCATGAATCTCACATTAGTTCAGTTTTCACAATTTTTGCCTTTGTGCAAAATCCAAAATTTGCACTCTTAAATAGTGAGAGTGATTTGTGCTAGGTTTTCAAGGTCAAGATGTTTCATTTATATTACCCCAGCCCTCAAGGTCCCATTTATTGAAGATTATCCCACCCTCAGGCTCCCGTTTCACTGAGTATTACCCCACCCTCAAGGTTCCGTTTCAATGAGGATTAGCCCAGCCCTCAAGGTCCCGTTTCATTTAAATTAGGACTACCCTACCGTCAAGGTCCCGTTTATTGAAGATTATCCCACCATCCAGGGTCCAGTTTCATTTAGGACTTTCCTACCGTCAGGGTCCCGTTTCAATTAGGATTACCCAATTCTCAGGTTCCCGTTTTCACATTACCCCCATCCCCCGTCTCGTTTCATAAAGCGATCGTAACTCTACGCTAAGTATAATAAAGTAAAGGAGTTCCGATAGTCGTAGCGCAACGACACCTATGTGTAACGGGTGCGGGAATCTTTACCGCACAAACACATCTTTGGAAAAATATTTCTTTGCATGCAATGATGAATGTATTTTCCACTGAACAAAACAGTGACGTATTCTGTAATCTTAATTCACCTATTCCAGAATGAACATTACTGTATCAAAAAAACTTGAGTGTATTCCTCACCTGTAATCAGAACCACAGCAGAAAGCAACAGTAGTAAGCATTTCACATCCATGACAGTCCTCGTCATTTGGGAATAAAATGGTTCGAAATATGTGGGAATTTTCACAGATGCCAATTATTTCCACCTAGTGTTTTTAAGTTAAAGAAATCAGACCATAGATAAAGGCGGTCGAGTTGCAGGTAAACATGATAAGGGACGAGGTGAGTAGGGCAGTGTTCTCACCTCACCAAGACACCACTTCAACATAAAGAGTGTCAATATATCGTGTTATAGTTTATACTTCCCCACGCTTGTTGACCCCAATCTCTGACCCTACTATAAGGTGTGGCAATATGTGGTCACAATCCAGTTAATGGCCTTATCACACACCATGTCCACATCTAACACGGCGCCAAGGCCTGATGATACTGGAAACCGATTTATGTTCCGATTTACTTGTGCAAAGGTCGAACAATACTCCTCCCAAAGAAAGTTAATTTCAATTATCTTTACATCTTAATGCCTAATACGGTGTTTTACGGACTTTGTGCAAACATACTGCACCTCAAATGATATTATTTAAGGAATGTTGGGGTGGCAAGGTGGAATTGAGGGTACACAGCATTATCTTTGAAGAGGCAAACATTATCATCGTAACCTCTCAATGGATAGACAGAATAGCGTATGATTATGTACCTCTCGAATGGGGTTTGAGGTTACTAGAATGTGCTGACCCGCCCAAGTGAATACTTCTCTTTGATGTTTTGCTGCATGGTCATCTTGAGATCTACTGGCAGGGGCAGATATGGAAAGGTCTATTTCCGGGCGATTCATTTATCCCTTTGCTTTTCTGTTTGTCAGTAAATTAAACTCTTAACAAACACGAAGTTAATCATCTCAGCACAGATCCCTCAGATTACTCACCTACCTATGTGGAAGACTTTGAACTCATTGCCAAAGGAGATTCAACAATGGAAAAAACCCAGATTCTGCTTGTCGAGTCTTTTTCCACTGACACTGGTACGACCTTTGGGCTCGACAAACACAACCATTATCAGCTCAAACGTGGCATGATGGAAGAGAGAAGATCAGTCAGTTTACTTGGGGTAGAAGTTATTGATCATCTAGTGGAAGTGCAGTCCTATGCGTACTTGGGGATGCAGGTTAGAGACAAACTCCATAATGCCCACATAAAAGGGATACTACACATCCAGACTCGTTTAAATCAGAGTTCAGAGCTGAACGCTGACAACAACGTGAAGGCCACAAATATCTATGATGTGCCCATCCGTTCATATCCTCTCGGTGTTGTTACATGCAAGTACACGAAATTCAGAGTATGGGGATGTATGTCAAACAATTGATGCCAACACCCATGCTCTTCCATCAGCTGCTTATAGTTAACAATTGTAATGGGAGGCAGGCTTTGGTTATAAAAGTGAAGTCTCTTCAAGTGTGAACATTTGCACACATATATTTGTCTGGTGGTCCTCTTGTCAATAGTCATGGCGAAAGCAAGTCCGTCCAAAGGTTTTGTTAAGAAGCAAAGGATGTTGGCCACAATCTTATGTCAGTAAGTCAATGTTGACTTTGTTGATGGTTTAGTACTGCTGGAAGGTGAGTGAGTGGACAGAAACGAGTGTCGAGTAAAGTGCCACATCAAATCGGCACGGGTTCAGATTGTTGAAGAGCAACCCACAAGAGTTCATCGTTTGGATAAAGTCGGCCGGCTTGAAAAGTAAAACAGATTTCCTGTTTGCTGCTCAAGACCAGTCAAGTTCCACTCGAAGCCATTAATGTGTGATTATGCATAAACATGTTAATATGGATGTAGATTATGTACGGACTGTATCAAGACTGCCCATCACCTTGTCAATGGATACCAAGCTCTGTCAAAACATATCTTAAACATCTTAATATTATTGTTTAGCTTTGCTTGGGGTTTTGACGCTGAGGTCTATCCATTGAACGACCCATAATATGAAAAGGGCGTCATGGAAAAGCATACTTTATTTAATTCTTTGGAATATATCCGTATACAGCATTAGACGAATTCATGCCAACAAGCCTGACCTTGTTATTTTCACCTATTGATAAGACTGGAGTCACTGTCCCTTTTGACTGTATGTGAGTGACAATATGAAATATCTGGTAAATACGAGGCCCTCACTTCTGCAATGTCACGCTTGTAGCCCAAGAACCAGGTTGTTCGACTCCCCATTGATCTTGGTGCCCTAGGGTTGGTACCTGCCAATCTCTCAGCTGACATTGGAAGAGTGCTGGGTTTGCTGCCAGGCTGCGGTGCTGCCATTACACCGGCCATTGGATCCGTGTCCACTTGAATTAAATTTTCTGCTTTATTGAGAGCTACCTGTGACGCTCTAGGAGGTTAACAGTCCTATTATCATCTCATCATACAAGATGTCATGTCACTGCTGGGTAAACAGGGGAACACAGACATCTGTGTAAAGAGATTATCTGCGTACTAGCTTTCATCCACCTGCCTGATGAAGGAGTAAGAGTATATTCCGAAATGTGGTGTTCCTGACGACACAGAAGTTTCCATTTTGTGTGTATTACTTCTAATTGCCATGCAAAAACTTCATCCTTTTCCTTAATCCACAAGAAAGATTTATTTTAACCTGGGAGTATAATAGGTACGTAGTGTTTCCATAGTTTACACCATAGCAATGGCAAAGATGTTGTCCATGCACCTCTTTAAAGTATACAAAACAAGTAAACAAAAATAAAATAAAATAAAACTCCAACGACTACGAATAATCAGCCCTGATTGTCTATCAAATACTGACTGAATCAATGTGAAAGGCGATTTTGTTTGTGATTTGTTGTTGAGCGCCGCACTGAGCAATATTCCAGCTGTATGATGGGTGAAAAACAAATTAGATCATTGAAAATAATTGATGACACTAGGTGTTCGTGAAAAGGTTCCTGCGTCCTGCTCTACTGGTATGATCCACAACAAAGTTCTAACAAATTTAGAGACAATACAAAACAAACAAATATACCAAACTATGAAAAAAATGACATCAAATGATACCGGGCACCTGTACAGTGTGACCACTGTCAGCATAGACTTTCCAATATGATGCACATGAAAGATTCACATGGCACGACTGGTCATGACCAACAGTTACCGTCACATGACCCTTTCATGCGTGATGGTAAAAAGGTACGTATACTATCTAATGTTGTGACGCATCTTTAATTTTACTGATTTACTACCCTACTGGGACGTCTTTTGACATCCACTTTGACATTCCGGGGAAAAGTCTGTGACTGAGCAGAAAGTGACGTCACAATTGACGTGGAGATTGTTGTGGTTGATGGGCAGTTGAAAAGCTTCGAAGTAGAACCGTGTGAACTTGTCGACGTGGCCTAATACATGGGTGGCGGCATTGGCAGCACATCTGAAGAAAAAGAAAAAAACATATTGGGACATGAACTCCAAAAAGGTATATATGGTCACTTACGGGTTCTTTGCACTGTGGGTACGTAAGTCGCGTAACATTCAAAGTAAATTTAAGCTTGCCAGACTTTTATAACTTAGTATTTTTGTCATTTTAAATTATGGCTGCATTTGCCTACATTCGCCAGAGGCTGAAGGGAACAAGGCGAACTAAAACCAATGATAGCTAAAGCTTTTGACTTACCTGTTTTGAATAAGTGGCAGAACTGTGGAGGTGTTGTCACTGATGTAGCAGTTGTCCACCAACAGCTTTGCTTCAGAAACATCCCTCATCTCAACCTGAACATAAACACTTGAGCCAAGATCCACCTTCAAAGGGTTTCCCATAATTTCCTTTGTATAAGCACCGTCACTGTAAAACCTGATGACCGCTTCATGGTCTTTGACACTGCCAGATGTTTCTCCTGTCACAACAGCTGGATTCATCAGGACAACATTGATGACATGAGTTTCCGACCTGGGAAGACGACATCCGATGTTGTAGCGCCACCTTTCACTGATCACCAGATCGGTTTCCGGGTCTCTTTCATATTCAGTCAAATAGTTGCTGAACGTCATGGATGTATTGCTTGTCTGAAATAGTGAGTGAGTCACTGAGTGAGTATGATTTTAGCAATTTTCCAGCAGTACATGTTATTAGGTCAACATAATACAGTTCGTGAGCAGATGCTTGATCAAATTTATGTATTACGTTATTCATATATCACGTTTGTAACCTTGTACATGAAATATACTGACAGTATGTTCAAGAAACAACCCAAAATCGGGACCGCCATTACCAAATACTCTGTTTTATAGTTCAGGACATGTGAGTATGCCGGATATGAGCAATATCATGCATGTTGTTTGACATCTCTGGGGTTTTCTGACAAAGCACTGGGCATGCGTACAAAATAGAACTTCTTCATTAGCTGGATCTCCCCTGCACAGCTCTATCCCCATCCCGCTCCTCAGGCATATTATTTTGTCAAAAAAAGTGAAAGAAAAAATCTGCATACACTTTTAGCCAGAGCATTTTGATTCTTCCGATTAGATTTGAAACATTGATTCTGAACAGACACATGCGTGTTGTACCCTTGTGTTTGAGATGAAGGAAAGTACGTTTAAATTTGGTGGAAGAAGCTAAAGTGTGGTAACCAGCAGCTATTTCTACAAGTCGTTGCGACGTCCCGTGTGGGATAAACGTGTCACTAGATGATAACAGGGATGCCTGTGTCTGCAATTTCGGTACAAAGCTTCAGAGTTGCTTTCAGCCGTACCTTGCCAATCGTATTGCAATCGTTGTAGGAGAAGTTGAAGACGAGGACATCTCCGTCGAGGACTCCTGGACAATACGTGTTCGCCATGTAGATATTCTTACTAACAGCGACTGGGTAGGCTGTGGATAGTTTGTGTAAGTCGATAGTCACGTGCCAGGTCCCTAGTGAGCATGTCAACTCAACAGCGTCCGGAAGAGCTGCGAACAGAAAATCTCGATAGAACATCACATTCCAAGTAACATTATTCACTGTCTGAAAAAAATGTTGCTAGACGAATCTCCAAACTGGCTGTGCAAGTCAGTACTTTGTTGAATAACTGAATAGACAATCGAATGTATTGTGTGATGATATAAATCCTTCACATTTAAGCGGTATACCACAAAGTCATGTTTCTAAGAGTGTACGAAGCACGTTCTTGAGAAAAGTACTTAAAGATCTCTGACCTTGTCAAACCGCAATTACAACTTCTTAGGAATAACGTATTGTGGTAAAACTACGGAAAGATTTCTGCCCGTAACCCCCGTTTTATTTTAACATTCTTAGATTCTTAAGAGTTTTATTTTTATCAAGAAACCTTAACACTAACCCTTACCCTCCCCTTACCCTAACCCTAAACCACACCCTAACCCTAAAACCTCGAAATAACCCTAATATACAGAATACATTTCAAGCGGGGGTTACGGGTGAACTCTTACCAAAACGACATGTATGGTATTAACATGTACGCATGTGCCTCATAAGTGTCATTTCTTTACATAAAAGAATAATAAAGGGGGGCATGACACCATAACAACATCAAGTAGTGTATACAAACCTTCGACCTGAGACATACTTCTAATGGCGTAGAAACCAAACATTTCCTGATTTCCCATACCAGTGACATGCACAGCAAACGGACATTTTAGCGAGTCACTTCGTACGGCTGTCAGGTTATGAGGCGCCGTGATAGAGATTAATTCGGTGGGATGTTTTGTCGATAACTGTGACTCCCATTTTGCATCAACGTCAATGTGTGACGAACAGTTGGAACTGGTAGCGATGACGATACGACGGCCATAGTTCATACCCGTTGTTTGAATGTCAGGTATAAGATATTCAAGACCATAATGATCAATGGCGGGGACGATGGAACTAAAAACGCTGTATCTTCTATATTCACCAATTATTTGTAGGATAAGTATTGGCTTTGTGCTGTTGATATATTGGACACTATCTGAAGGGTAACAATCTAAATCGTACGATTCTCCTTCATCAATAATTGCTTTTTCCTCATAGTATGATATATAGCGTTGAAGCATTGTGTGATTGTAATATGCAATGACCCTAATCAAACATCTTTCATATGCTGTTTTCGGGGTGACAATGAAACTTGTTCCCCACAGTTCGACAGGAGGTATTTGACTCATAACAGAATCTCCAGTACTATCCCCTTCAAGATTAGCGGTAACAGAGCCAGTGAACACGGCAACAGGATCGCTGCTCTTCACAACTGACCCGGTGAAATCACAGTCCATAGGTGGATGGAGAACCGGAGGAGCTATTTGGAGAACGTCTCCTTTCCCTAAAACCGCAGTAAGCTCGCTTCCATGCCTGTATGTTGTACCATTGAATGTGTAAGTGCAATCCCTTATAGATTTCAGCTGAATGGTCACATTTGTATTGTCTGAGACGGCGACCACGCCCAGAAGAGGATTATGTGATACAGAAGGCACCAGGTAGCTCACAGACAGTGAGTCGACCGGTAGAACAGGATATGCTTCAGAACCTCCTTTTGTATGTCGTCGGTTGAAAATGTATAGGTTGACATACACTTTGCATTCAAGTTCTATAGCACGTTTCTGGACATAGCCTCCTAGTGCTAGTTCCGTCGCGAGGGGCAGATTGAACTGTGTTACCGTGACGTTGTCACGAAGCTGTATGTTATGTATATTGCCGTCGCTGTTGATGACGGTGCAGTTTCCCTGCCGTCTGTGAGCGATGTAGAGACTGCCAGCATCTTTATCCGTATATCCAGTCTTGAAAACTGGGAAAAATGATGCAACAAATCTTTTTCCAGAGTACATTGGTTTACCTGGAGTGAAACAAAAGACATGTAAAAGTATGTCAACCTGCCTTCCCATCAATACACCATTTTGTTTTTATTGTGTATTTCATGTGCTTGACTCAACAATATTCCAGATAAATGACGACTGTCTGTAAATTATCGAGTCTGAACCAGACAACCTAGTGATCGACATTCTGAGCGTTCATCTCAAATTGGAAAGAATGACTTGTATCAATCAAGTCATCGAACCTGACCACCCGATCCAATTTTTTTATGCCTACCCCTCTTTGCTAACCGACCGCCGCCCGACTGAATTTGTCCGGTGATTACAACGCAATGGATTAAAATATATTTCTATCATTAATGCCATGTAATTTCTCTAGAAACACTTTATAATAACTGTCTCACCTGCAACCACTGCAATGGAGGCCAATAATAGTAACGCTTTAAGAGCCATGACTATCTTGAACAGGAGAGACGCCATTTTGTGAATCTCCGTAACTAAAGGTGTGTGAAGTACAGCAGATGGTCCCTCGATTAAAGTATACTTTGTAGGATGACAGATTAGAGCACAATAGATAAGGGCAAACAAGAACAAAATCGCATGTGGCTGTGGCCTTAGTGCGTGTTAATGTTCCACCAGTAGCACAGTAACGTAAATCTGTGAGATTTTATTGTTTAAGATATCATTTGGCGAAACTAATTTGTGAGTTAATTGCGAACTTACTAATTGAAGTAGAAACGAAATATATGGGTAAGAAGTGTAAAGTACTAAGTTCTGTTAGTAAACTGTAAACAGCTGTGACTGGAATTACTGTTTCAATGAAATATGGATTATCAGTTTTTGAGTTGAATGACAAGTTAGTCTAAGAGGTAAACAAACCCACGAAGGGTTAGTTGGTCTTTAGCAACCCATGCTTTTCGTTGGCTCGACATCAACCTCTCCTCCACTAGTCCTACTGCACAAACTCAGCACCTCCGCCATGTTTTCAGGTAGTTCAACCACTGCCCATCAAAGCTAGCCTACAAAATCATCAGCACTGCGCTTCACCCAGCAAGAAAACCGGCCGCCAACAAACATTTTTTAAATAATTTGTTTATTGTTTTCATTTTTCCATTGGTACATGGACTCCAGTCATGTTTAAATACATATTGTAGATTTCAATTTGAAGACAACATACAGAATAGCAAAAGTTAAAACATCATTCCGAAAACAGACTGTGGCAGAAAGACCAGAACTTGAAAAAAAGATCGATTCTTGAACATATCATAGCAGAATATTTTGTTAGTTCATAATATTTTTTTTATCTGCTGTTGTAAAACATAAAGGGTGGCATCTGCTTAGATATTTTACAGTTAAAGATGATATTTTTGAAAAGGATAAGAATGACGTTCATTGGATCATTATTTGTCAGGCCGAATTCGAGCAAACTTTGTTCTTTGGTGAACGTTAAATTTACATCCGGAGTATTATTAAGCCAGTTTTCAAGATTTTGCCAAATAGGAGTAACCTTGCTGCAATCATAAAATAGGTGTGTTATAGTCTCTAAAGAACCAGGGGCTCCTTTCACGAAGCAACCTTTACTAAGGTTAACCTTAACTCCCATTCTTTAACATTGCACTAAGGTTACCTTAGTGACTTGAGATCAGTGCTTTGTGAAAGGAGGACCAGAACAATAGCTGCACAAGTCATGATCAATGTATTGCATCTTAAAAAGTCTTATTTGTTGGTAAAAGATGATGCAAGAGTTTGTATTGAAACCATTGCAGACGGGTGTCTTTTTCGAACAACGGAAAAGGATGTGGTTATATTGTTGCCAATAGTTTGTATCGATTTCATTTCCTAGTATCCTATTCCATTTTACACAATGTTGATTTTTGATTGATTTTGTTTCAAGTAAAGCCCTGTTAAATATTTGACTTCCGTGTTTTTGTCTAGTCAAAAAGTTTAACATATATGGTTCCAAAGGGTTTTGTGTTTTCCTGATGTTTCTAAGTTGATATTACCTCCTTTGAGGAATGCTTTAATTGAGTTAATGACTCCTGAATATTCTAGAAAGTTTGTTTTAACATTGTATTTACTTACAAAGAAATCATGAGACATGAATTTCCCAGAATCATTCAGAAGATCATTTATAAACACCTTTTGTACTCCAGTTTCGATAGAATATAGTTTTCCTATCGATAAAGATATTTTGATTATACCAGATAAGTTGAGAGGTGGTATCTTGTGAATCTGCTGCCCCATGTCTGGATAGTAAATCCCACCAGGCATTCAGAAGATCACAGTAGACATTGTTGCGAACAAGTGGAATGATAACTCTTCTAAGATTTGGACACTTATATTCAAAAATAGTTGCAGAACCCAGTTTAGGTAGATTTTCAGAAAAAAGATTACACATTTTGGTATGGCTATTATAAACTCGTCTTATGGCAGAATGTTTTTGAGCTTGCATTATTTCTTTTATATCAGGTGCATTAAGGCCACCATCTTTAACAGTGCATATCAGTTGGTCACGTTTGACTTTATCGGGCTTGTTTCCCCATATAAATCGAAAACATGTACCTTGAAAGTCCTCAATCAATTTGTCTGGGGGATTAGGTAGAGAGGCAAACAAATGGTTTAATTTTGGGAGGACAAGGGATTTCAACACGGTGGTTCTGGCCAAAGGGGTCAGGTTTCGAGCTAACCATACTGACATGAGGGTTTCACAATGTCTTAACTTATCTTTGTAGTTCAAATCAATCATATCTTCAATATCCAAGTCAAATTTTATTCCTAGTAGTTCAAAATTACTTTGTTCCCAGTTTAGATTCCATTTCTGACAAAGTTTCATATTTGAACGTTTCTTTGAACCAATCCAAATAATTCTAGTTTTGTCTTTATTGACTTTCATTCCTGAAAAGCGGGCAAAAAAAGTTAAAATTTGAAGCACTGCTTGTAGACCGCGTTCCGATCGATCTAGGGTGCAGGTAGTATCATCAGCAAACTGATTTAGTAGATATTCTACATTGCCTACATGAATTACTTTTATTCCTGCATTATTACGTATCATTATTTCAACACAAAGCATAAAAAGATATGGTGATAGTGGATCACCTTGACAACCCCTGTATATTTCAAAGCTATTTGAGCCAAAACCATTTACCACTACACTTGATTTAATATTCTTATAGAAAACCTTTATCCAATTTTTAATTGATTCTCCAAAATTAAAAAAGGGTTTTCGATAAATGACCAATCAACAGTATCGAAGGCCTTTTCAAAATCTATTAATAATAGAAGTCCGGGGATTTGGTATGTGTCGGTATATTCAATCAAGTCATAGATCTGCCTGGTGATATCATCTATACATCTACCAGACATAAAGCCTTTTTGGTCTTCGTGTATCAATGTGTCCACAACGGATTGAATTCGTTTTGAAATTGCCATTGAAGCTACTTTATAGAATACTGATAACAGTGATATTGGTCGCCAATGTTTTATAAATTGTTTTGGCTTATTTCCCTTCGGAATACATGTGAGAAGTCCTTATTTTTGTGATACTGATAATTCTCCATTTTTGTATCCATAATTTAAAGAACGAACAAAGTAATTTCTTAAATCATACCAGATTTTTTTAAGGAACTCAGCAGTGAAACCATCTGCACCAGGACTATTGTTATTTTTAAGCCATTTTAGGGAGGCAAGGATTTTATCTTTGGTAAGTTCACCTTCCAGCTTCGATGCAACATCATTACTAAGTCTCGGAATGCAATACCCTTGAAGTAGATTTTCTAAATTATGTCAGAGACGCCATATTTACTATATAGCTTATGATAAAATAATTTTACTTCATTCTGAATATCATTCTGAGAGTCGAGAATACGTCCGTTTGAATCTTGTACTCTTGAAGGGATTTATGGAGGATATTTCTAGATTGTAGACTCAAAAAGAAAGAAGTCGGTTTTTAGCCATGATTTATCCAGGTTGCTTTTGATCTAAGAATTGAGCCTTGGGTTTTAGTTTCATATAATTCTTCAAGTTCCTGTTGAATAACCTTTATTTCAGTAATTATTTCCTTTTAACGGTTTCATTATCAGATTCATCAAGTTGAAGTTTATTTAGATTGTCAGAGAGATGATTTTTCCTTCTTAATTCTCTCTTTTTTCTGGAATGAAGAGTACTTAATGGTTTCGCCTCTGATCATCAGTAAAATAGTTTCGAAAAGAATTTGGTCGTCAACGCTATATTCATCTGTGTCTACCTTATACTGGGCACTGGTTTCAGAAATAATATTCTTTACATTTTTCACACAGATGTGGTCGCTTAATAGGGAATTATTAAACTTCCAAAACCCATTGCCGCGTGATAAATCTGACAGTTTGAATGTCATCGATATCAAGGAGTGGTCTGTTTTGAAACCTGGTTTTATTTTCGATTCTGTATTTGAGGGTAGCATATTATGAGATACGAGAAAGTAATCTAAGCGCGCTTGTTTGAGTGGAGTGGGTTGTCGCCAGGTGTATCGCCGTCGTAAGGGTTCATTTGACGCCAGGGATCAAAGAAATCTAGATTTTCTTTTAGTTGTACCATCACCTCGAGTTCACCTCGGAGGTCCCTGATTTCGTCAGTGTGTATTGACACCACGTGGTCAGTTGCGGCTATTTGACCTTTCTCTCTGTCAATTCAATTTTTATAGAGTCTATTGAAGCCTGTAGTTCCGATTTAGTGTCTTTAAACAACTCAGCCAACCTTTTTTCCGAAGCTTGTACGACCTCCTCCTTTCTTGAATTCGAGCGTGTGTGTCGTTGGTCCGGCATGGTACACGTGCACAACAAAGTCCAGTAATGTTAAAAATGTCAGGGTTATTTTCTCTCACTCGATACTTTAGATATAAGTATGCCATTAATAACCCGATAATTTATTCATAAGCAAACCTTTATCGTAGAATTACATAGAAAGGTTCCGTGGGTTGCGGAGAGACGATATGACTCACGTCCGACCTTGTCCCATGTGCAACCGGAAGTCGCCAACAAACCTGATCCAGCAGCTATTGGTATCAAACAGATAAGTGATTTGCTTGATTTAATATTTAGGAGTTTCTAGACAAGTGTTTTCTTGAAGCTTCTAGAAAATCACAGACCTATGGTATGGGGAACTTCCGGAGGCTTTTTAATATATAATCGTGACAGGCGCGTCTCTTACATTACAGCGAGACCAAAAGTCTGAGAAGATCGTTGTTTTCACCCTGGACAACCAGCCTAGGCGTGTTCTGGAAGCCTGACCACTTTTACAGCTAGGTGATTATTGTTAGTACTGCTAAACTTTCATGGAGTTTTGCGGTACCACTCTACTGTATACTGCCTATATACTTAAGATTGTGGCAGCAGACCTAGTCATCGCGTCCTTGTCACAGGACACGACAGTAAACATTCAGGATTCACTTCCTTTATATAATATGTGTGTGTGTGTGTTATAATTTGGTGGTTAACTTCATTTAACTTCCTATTTTTGAAAGATAACACTGTGACGTAGTTACTTCGACGTGAGCCTCAGAGGTTGACAGTCAACTCTTTCATGACGTCCATTAGTTCCAGACTTATGGTTTGAGTGCCAAGGCTTTCCTCGATCATATTGAACTACAACCATTGTATATCACACTATCGGAAGATCCCAAGCTTCAATAAGCCATGCTTGTCGTAAGAGGCGAGTGACGGGATCGGGTGACTAGGTTCGCTAACATGTTCGACACATGTCATCGTATCCCAGTTGCGTAGATCGATGCTTATGATGTTGATCACTGGATTGTCTGGTCCATGTAGCTGTAATATTGCTGAGCGCGGCGTTAAACAACAAACACACTACCGGACAGTGTTTCGATTTTAGACTAATATATCTACGAACAATGAGCATTTGCAGAGAAGGAAAACGTACATGCTCAAGGAATATTGCTACACATGTTTATGTCATAGACGAAAGCAACATCATCCTTTAGCCATTGTGTAGTACTGATGGTACTGAAGTCAATGTTGCAGCACTTTCTGGAAATGTTTCTGAATCATCAATACTGATAAGAACTATTCCTCAAGTTCAAACGCAGCATTGAACGTGGATACCACAATCATATTTGTTTAAATAGGAACCTACGTATTTATGTTTAGCATATTACTTACTCCGTAAACAACAGTAACAGACAAGTCTGTGCGTTATTCATTTGGCCTTCTGAGTTGCCTTACCTTCTATATCTGCAGTACAATATTTTCAGCATACCCTCAAAATGATACTGGTTATTCAAATGAGTACGTATAACACAAGTCTTAGAGTATAATTAAATAATGCCTGAATGCAGACTTCGCACGACTATATTCATTTATTGTTCCCGGTGTCTCCCTACAGGTTTGACCTCTCACAGATGTTTTGACATTCCGGCGAGAAATCAAAGAGCGAGCAAAAACTGACGTCACATGTGACGTAGACGCTGTCATGGTGATGGGGCACATCGAAGGCATCAAAGTAGAAACGGGTGAAGTCATCTGTATGACCTATTATATGGGTGAAATGGTTCGCCTCGCATCTGAAAGTAAGAGAATGTTGTCAAGACAGCAGCAGCAGTGTGTGTGTATGCGTGTGTGTGACAGAGAGAGAGAGAGAGGGAGGGAGAGAGAAAGAGAGTGTGTGTGTCTGAGAGAGAGTGTGCGTGCGTGCATGCGTCGTACTGCATGCGTCGTACTTTCAGTGTGCGTGCGTGTGTGTTCTATACTGTTTCTGGTATTATATTCATTTTATGAATCAATGTTTTTTAACACAACCAGAAAAAACCACTATAATATTAAGAATAATTGCTAATTTATGACTGCCTTAGATAAAGAACACCCCATAGAATTGATATAGCTGATTCATCCTCTATGATTAGGCTATTTGTCAAACACTGATAAAGATTCGATGCATCATGCTTTAAAATCAGTGAATAAGGGAGTATGGAGTATGGCGAGGGGCATCATGAATGGGCTTCATACATTGTGCCAACGCTTTAACTACAGCCCCAATGCTTTTCAGTTTATAGGCGAGATGCCCTTGCAGTTTATGAACCAATTTTATAGGGAGGGAATGAGTGAGTTTAGTTTTACGCCGCTGTTAGCAATATCCCAGCAACATAACGGCGGGGGACACCAGAAATGGGCTTCATGTTTTGTGCAAATATGTTAGGAATCGAACCCGGGCCTTCGGCGTGACGAACGAACACTTTAGCAACTAGGCTACTCCACCAACCCAATTTGATAGCTATGATTACTGAAGCAATGTTTTTCCAAAAGCAACAACCTGTTCTGAATAAGTGGCAAGGACGTAGCCGCCTCGGGTCTTATCTTTTCACTGACGAAGCAGTTATCCACCAGCAGTTTGGCATCAGCAGATCCAACCATCCCAACTTGAACATATATACGAGTTCCAATGCTGACCTCCAAGGGGTTTCCGCGGGTTTCATTTTCATACAAGCTGTCACTGTAGAACGTTATGGCGGCCTCATGTCCGTCCATACTGCCAGATTTGTGAGCGGTGGCCGTGTTGTTGTTGCTAGGAACCAGACTGGTAGAATCTGTTGCGTTTTGGAGGAAATCACATCCTAGGTCATAACGCCATTTTGCTCCAGTGACGAAGTGAGTTTGGAGATCGACGTCATATTCTATGAGGTAATTGCTGTATTTCAGTGACATGTTCTTCGTCTGAAAATGAACACATGACTGGATTAATTCGTAGGATTTTCTGCATAATTAAATGGTCTATACTGAGAAGATTTTTTGCCATGTGTTTTGCAGGTAGTTTGTTTGGTGAACATAATACAGCACGTTCATTCTTCAATTCTACTACAAAATCAATCATTAATTTTACAGTAAATTCTATTACCATTAATTTTTCTGTGAATTATATTATGTGAAGATATCAAGGTGACACTTTCACCACACCTTCAGCTGAGTGTTGCAGTCATCAAAGGAAGTGTTGAAGATCAGGTGATCTCCTTGTCGGACTCCAGGACAAAATAAGTTCGACAGGTAGATATTTTCAGGGACAGAGTTGGGATAAATAGACGCTAGCTTGTGAGTGTCAACTGTGACATGCCAAGTCTCTTGTGTGCATGTTAGATTCACCACGTCTTGCATGACTGTAGATAAAATGCAACAATGAACGATTATAAGTGATGTTGAGCAGTGTATCAGTGAGACAGGTAGTTAACATACAGAGAGGTCAAGTTCTTCAGACAAAAGAACACAATGACTGTACACTGAAACACGGGCATATATCTCAGACACCTATTCATGAAACATTTTAAGGTACAAACACCACAAAACAGACTGGATGAAAATGCATTGCTTATCCAGTGCATGAAATAAGCCCTAAATCCAGCCAGACATCAGGGCTTGTAACTTCAAAATGTTACCAGACCCAAAACTGGTAACTTCAAAATGTTACCAGCCCAAAATGGATTTAACAAGCACAAATATGATGAATTTACTCAGATGTATGGAACATCCAAAGATTTTATCAGACCATCGGGCTGGCTCGCTGTAAATTTAGACCGACCGTCAGAAATCTATGCCGTCTCGGTCGGTCGGACGGCCCTTATTTCATACACTGGCTTATCTCAGTTCTTGGCGTGAGAATTCACTATAGAGGCGGTACCTGTGAACATCTAACCAATATGCTCTAATTGACAGTATAATAAACGATTTTCTGGTCCAGACTCCTTAAACAACAAACAAGCAAACAAACAACATAAACAATAGAGTTCAAGTACAATGTGGCACGAATGCAATGCAACTTTTTCTCGCACATTTTCATAGCATGGCCAACTCCGATAAACATCTGTGGCGTATTTACATATAAGTTATTAGCTGTATCATGTGCGTGTTACGTGTTACACAAAAAGATATACGTGCTAAATGCTGTAATTCCTTATTTCAATTTAAAGCAAAATTCGCCCAAACTCGGAATTCAACGAATATGTGAAATCCATTTTTCTCTCACCTGTGGTTGCCCCTACAGAAGAGAATAACAGGAGTAAATATGTCGCATCCATGACTGGACTGTACCGAAAACTGGAGTATGTCAACTTATCTGTCGGACATCAAGTGGGAAGTACTGCACGTGGTCCTCGAGAAGAAAGAAAACAGCGAACTAGTTGAGACGTTACAAGGTAACCTACAACGGTGCTATCTGGATGATACAACGCTCTTTTGTGAGAAAGCATGATACTAAAACAATTGGTATATCAACGCTTTGCTATCTGGATGATACAATGTTTTGCTATCTCTTTGTGATGAAAGCATGATACTAAAACAATTGGTATATCTTATTCGCTTTAAGTGAAATTGCCACAATATCAAAATATACAATGTGTTTTGCGTATTCCATCCAATTTCATTTCATAAGGAAGATTATGTAAAGTGTGAAAACGAGGAATTACGAATTTGACTTGTATATGTCTTCAGGTTCGTGCATTACTCACGGTGAAATTACATCACAAATGTTATATTGAATTTATTATATCTCAGTATGGTTGCGTATTCCATCTTTGCAATTTACGAGAATACTTATGATAACTCACAGTGGCACAACGTCTAACTGACAAAACATTTATAAATCTAGAGCATAAGCTTTTACCTTTTACAGTGTCACAAAGACTAAACTCGAACGTCTTTTGTACCTCAAAGTACTGCAATTTTAAACAAATGTTGAATGTCCAGTTATCATTTAATTCTATGTAAGCACATTTTTATCTCTTTTTATGTTTTTAGTAATGTCATATTTTATGTTGTTATTCATTTGTATTTTTGTCAAGTTCTGTGATCCCAAACGAATTCCTTTTAAGGTAATAAAGTATTGTCTGTCTGTCTGTCTGCCTCACTCTGCAATATTCCAATTTTGGCGGCGGTCTGTAAATAATCGAATCTGGACCAGACAATCCAGTGATGAACACAACATGAGCATCGACAAACAGGTTACCGAAGATCAAGTTTAACCCGGATCTTCACGGGTCTTCTACACCAGAAATCCAAGGTGAACGAATATAAATTTTCACTGAGGTTTTAGAGCTAGTCAGTATATAATGTCCTAAGTGACATCTTGATAACCGATGAGGTCACAATCTATCTCATCATAGTCATGGCACATGTCTTGTCCCACACGGACAATATATAGAGTGAGGTGACCCCAGTTTGCTCTGTGTATGTGGACGTGTATGTCTGGGACACAGGGGTTCGAATCACTGTTTGGACACGTAAATTTTATGTTAGTGTACCGGTAGAATTTTCTTAAAAATTCATTTCTTCACCGATCTCGTTCAAATTTGAAATACATGTATATGTTAATCATAACATATAGAAACGATGCACGATTACAAAAATCTAGATTTTATATTTGTAAAACATATTGTCCAAACAGTGATTCGAACCCCATTTACTTTTCTAGTGATGTCAGCTAGTGCTCTGACCTTTAAATGGAAGTTAACCTATAGGTTACTTACTAACAATTCTTTTTAAAATAAAAATTAAGACCGAATACATCTGTGCATCGTCATACAACAAACACATTTTTATGTACATTGTGTTAGCGGCGAGCAAGATTTGTTTGTATGTATGTTGTTTAATGCCGCACTCATGTGCAGCAATAATCCAGCTAATGGGCTGCGTCTGGACCAGACAACCCCGTCAACATCATGAGCGTCGATCTATGCAATTGGGATACGATGACACTTGTGCCACAGGCCCTCGTGTCTTTGCGAGGATTAATGACTAAAAAAATATTGTTTTTGAGCGGACACCCGACTGGAAATGCTTCACAGTACAATACATCATGTATTATTCTGTGAAGCATTTCGAGTCGGGGGTCATCTCAAATTTTTGTATATATTTTATAAAATCCCTAATCCTCGCAAAGACACGAGGGCCTGTGACCTCGCAAAGACACGAGGACCCGATTCCGTTAGTCTCCTCTTACGGTCGAGAGGTAACAGTCAGGTAATCAGGTTCGGCGACTAGGATAGATAAGAAGAACAAGTTTTATGGACTGACTTCTTCATTGCCATACCTTTTTGGTGTATATGCTAACGCCGTTATGCAACATAACTGAGTTAATACAGTTGACAAGGTTTGATGTACAGCGTGATAGCATTGCTGATAGTTGCTGTGTTTATAGCTGATGAGCTATAGCTTTAGGTATGACTTCTTTACTGCCATAAATTGGTGTATATGCTAACACCGTTATCTTGCAAGTAGAACACATTATTCACAAGATATATACATACAAAGATAACTGAGTTTATACATAGGTTGATGTACAGTGTGGTAACAATGTTGTACTTGCTGTGTTTATATGCGACATCCAGCTGCATGTACATAGCAATAACGTACACGTGAAGATCCTGTTTAGAATTTGTCTTCAGTAATGTTCACATGCTTGTCGTAAGACGCGACTAACGGGATTGGGTAGTCAGGTTGACATACGTCATCGTATCTCAGTTGCGTAGATCAATGATCATGCTGTTGATCACTGGATTGTCTGGTCCAAACTCGATTATTTACAGACCTCCGCAATATATCTGGAATACTGCTGAGTGCGGCGTAAAACTAAACTCACTCACTCACATTCCAGTACGTTTGTTCCTCTTCTGCTTACCAGCGTCTAAACGCTACTTGAAGAAGTTTACACACTGGTGTTTTCAGATTCAGACTCGAAACTTAACATCCCCCTTTGATATAGCTATTCCCAGTGAAAATATATTTGGTTTCTCCCGGTATTTGAGAAACGAACTTGACCCTCAGGCAATGGCCTTCTGTTGTAAGGTAGCATTATGGATTCAATGAGAAGTTAGTCATTCATGCATCATAAATAATTTATTCGGTAATTTACTCCATCAAACACGGTATTATTGGAAAAGAAAAGAATTGACGAGTTTTAGTGTGATAGGATTCTTTATTAACGCGATTTCATCTGACATCGATTTTGACATTTCAGAGAAAAGTCTGTGAGTGAACAGAAAGTGACGTTACATGAGACGTAGATGTTGTCATAGTGACTCTTCAACTGAGAAGCATCGAAGTAGAAGCGGGTAAGTTTGTCAACACGACCTATGACATGAGTGAAGTCATTCGCTTCACACCTGAAGGAGAAGAAACATTTTGTTAAACATTTTGCAAGACAGCTTTTGACAGAGACGGTAGCAATAATTGTGTTTGAATTTTACACTTGATTCCTCTGGTGAACACAAACTATGAAACATTGAGTATGAATCTTAGGTGTAAGGTTGTCTTTATCTTGGGCGTTACAATAAATCCTTTGGTTTGGATTCATAGTTGTAAATTGATGTTTATGTAACGTGATCCAATAGCGAATTGGTTTATCAATGATTGGATGACTGACAGTTTATTCGTGTCCATAACGTGAGATCGACGCCATTATATTCCCGTAACGCCACACTACCTGGCTGACAGGCCTTCATGCATGTATGCTGACTATTTAGAGACTTGGTTTTCTGTACAGTATGACATTCGATTTGTGAGGCACGAAAAAATATATTGACGTGCACAAGAAACTGCACAAACTAATTTTGGGGATTATTAAAAAAATGTTGTGATTTACACGTTACAAACATTATGTACGTGTTGCCAAAACTATTTCAAAATATATGTTCAATTATTTACGTTGTGTTTTGTGAAATAATCCAAAAGCACTATGTGTGAACGTTCTTTTGTATGTCAGTATATTTGGGCTCAGCGATAAGGGGCAGCTGACGAAGTACCGCCTCACTGTAGTCAGGAGGGACTACTGGCCTGTTCTGAAGAAGTCGTACAGCTGTAGAGTTATCTGCCCCCTTGTTGGCACTGACGTTACAGTTGTCCACCAGAAGTTTGGCGTCAGGGACATCCTTCATCGCAACCTGAACATAAACACTTGAGGCGAGGTCAACCTTCAAAGGATTTCCTATTATTTCATTTTCAAAAGAACTGTCACTGTAAAACGTGATGACTGTTGCCTGTTGTTCGGTATTGCCAGCTGTTTGTACAGTCGGCACAATTGGCTTGATGGGAACGAAGTTAATAACGTCAGTTTCACCCTGGGCCAGGTCACAGTAGATGTTGTAACGCCATTTTGAACCGGTCACCAGATTAGTTTCAGGATCTCTTTCATACTCGGTCAGGTAGTTGCTAAATGTCATCAACGAACTGCCTGTCTGGAACATAACGTATGATTTATGCATGAATGACAATGACAATGATAATACTTTATTACCCCAAGGGGAATTCTTTTTTACATTTGAACTTGATCACATAATTAAATATTAAGAATTACAAAAAGGTTAAGAAAACGCAAAACAACACAATAGACAAACAAAGTTAACAGTCATTTAAAAGGCCAATACTTGTTGGAATAAAAGAATGTTATAATTAAATTCTGTTTGTTTTAAAACGGGGCATATGGTATCGGCGGCCTGAAGGTAAAAGATTATATTCAGAAAATAAAACGTGGCTGGAATCAGATAAAATTCTCTCAGCAAGGTTACGAATACGGGAATTAAAAAGAGGAGGTAAATCCAAAACAGGCACCCCAGAGATTTTAATGCAATTAAAATGACTTGGTTAAGATAACCCTTGCGTTTGATATTAAGAGAGACATACCATTGAGTTGAAAAGGTTAAAATATGTTCAACAAAACAACGCTAAAACAACAGCATCGCAATTGGCTTATGTCTTTGCAAAAATGTTTTATGGTACACCTAAGTGACTTTGTGTAACCCTCTGATAAGTGTACTGGTGGTGGTACTCATGGCTCTGATTTGTGCCATGATGCTTTCGTATTTCTTAAGGTGACCAATGAACTTACCTTCGTGTTTGTGCTAGCCACCAAGATACACTCGGGAACACCTAGTATCATTACTGCTTGGTAGTGATTCATAGTGAGTGAGTGAGTGAGTTCACTTTTACGCCGCTTGTAGCAATATTCCTGCGATATCACGGCGGGGCACACCAGAAATGGGCTGTAGTGATTTATACCTACATGCTCATACATATAGACGCAGTCGTATAACACACAAGGGGTTTCTTATTATAATAGAAAAGGCTTTGTCGCATTCTTGTAAGGCATTTTTACGAACCTATTGCAATTCATCTGTCAATGTATGTTTCACATGGGGTGTTTGCGTAATAACGCACGCACGCAAACACGCACACGCAAGGTTAAGTGTTCTTGCTCACATCGCTGTTACTGTTAAGTTGTATGAGCGTTGAATGCCTACCTTAGTCTCTGTGTTGCAGTCGTTGTAGGTAAAGTTGAAGACAAGGACGTCGCCGTCAAGGGAGCCGGGACAGTATGTGTTGGACATGAAGATATTCTTAGTAATCGGCACCGGATTACCCAAGGCTAGCTTTTTCGTGTCCAGTGTAACAAACCAACGTTCTGGCGTACATGCCACTTTTAGAGAGTCTGATACAACTGTAGATATAACACAAACAGTTATCACACAAAGATCAGTAAGATTCTCTTTTGTTGTTCAATTCCGCACTCAGCAACATTACAGCTATGTGACAGCGGTAGGTAGTCAGTAAAGAGTCGAGTCTGAACTAGGCAATCCCCTGATTGATGTCATGGGCATTGTTCTACGCAGACACAATACGGTGACATACACCAACCAAGTCAGCCAGACGGGGAATCCAATCCCGTTAGTCGTCTCTTTCAAGGATGGATTGCTAAAGATCCCGCAAAGATCAATGAGGAAATATATTTCAAAATTACCATACTTTTTAATTATGAATTATTGGAAAACAATGCTACTGACACATACCGGGGTTTTTACAGTGTAACCCGGCTCAAAACTGTTACTTGGGCAGCCTTGTCTTCTTTACAATTTCTGCCAGGAACATCTGCCAGGTTTTATAATACAACCGCACAGTAGGGACTAACAGTCGAATATGCAGAAGATGGTTACGGTATTTGAACTACATGCTCATATAGTCTGGCTACTTACCTGTATCCTGAACATCGGTCATAGCAAAAAATCCAAACATTTCCCGAGAGCCATAACCAGTTATATGTACAGCAAATGGACATGCATTGGTGGTACTTCTTATGGCAGTCGTGTTATGGGGAGCAATGATATCGGCGGTTGAGATGCGATGGGAATGACGTGAAAACGTTGTCCAGGTTGCATCAATGTTGATGCTTGACGTGCAGGCGGGACTGGTGTCAATTGAGACATGACATCCATATTCCATATCTGATGTCTGAATGTCAGGTATAACATACTCAACACCATAGGTCTCAACTGCCGGAACTATGGATGTGTAAACGCTGTATTGTTTAAATACTCCAACCATTTGGAGGACAAGTATAGGCATTGAGCTGTTGATGTAATAGAGGTCTCCTCCTCGCATGTAAGGTGCGTCATAAAATTGGCCTTCATCTAGCTGTGTCGTCCGAACTCCATAGACTCCAGAATCGACCACAACAGTTGTATGGTTGTAGGCGGCCAAGACACGCAGTACACTACCGTCCCTATATCCTATTGGCCGAACAAAAAACGTTTTACCCCAAGATTCAATGGGAGGTATCTGACTCATGACAGCATCAGCATTGTTAGTATCTTGTGGAAAGTTTAAGGAAGGAGATCCTGAAAACACGGCTACAGGTTTGCTGCTCTGAACGACCGACCCTCCAAAATCACAGTGCATCTGTGATTTCATTTCAGGACGAGCTAGCTGGAGAACTACTCTCTTCTGCAAGACAACAGTAAACTGGCTTCCCCGCGTGTATGTTGTGCCCTTGAACGTAAGAGCGCAACTCCGCGAAGTATTAAGCTGAATAGTAACAGTTGTATTGTCTGTGACAGCGACCACGCCCAGCAGTGCATTATTTGGCACAGAAGGCACTAGGTATCTTGCAGACAGTGAGTCCACGGGCAGTACAGGAAAGGCTACAGAACCCCCATTGGTATGTCCCCGGAGAAGCAGATAGAGCTGGGAGTCAGCGGAGCATTCAACATCTATAGCACGCATCTGGGTATACGCTCCAAATGTTACGAATTTCGATTGAAGATTGAACTTCGTTACCGTGACATTTCGCTGAAGCTGTACATGATGTGCAGTGCCGTCCACGTTGATGACAGAGCAGGTTCCTGGTCGTGTATGTGTGATGAAGAGGACACCAGTAACTGTATCAGGGGTGGTGGTTTTAGATATAGGGAACAACGATGCAACAAATTTTCTTCCTGAGTACCGAGGTTCCGCTGGAGACAAAAAAAGGGGGAAATACTACATTCTACAATATTATCATTTTCCTTGTGTCATTGTAATTTTATACAATCTGATTGGCTGAATTGATTCATAAAGTTAGCTCATCGCGCTTTCGTGATACCTAAATCAAGCAACAAGAATTCGTACCTCAGTAAGTGAACGGTTGTCTCGTACTGGTAGTGAACACATTACTCAATTCTTTTTAATACTCGTTATAGGATGCAAGTGAATATAGTTACATGCACACACACACACACACACACACACACACACACACACACACACACACACACACACACACACACACACACACACATGCTATTTAACGCAGCAGCATTCGGCTATATAATCGGGTCTAGACCAGACCATTCCATGATCAACATCATGAGCATCGATCTACCGGGATGCGATGACATGTGTCAACCGTGTCAATGGGTCTCGCTTCCCGACCCTGTTAGTCGCCTTTAGCTAAGTATTAGTTGCCGAAGACCAGTTCCAGCCCAGATCATCACAGATTAAGTGATCTGCCCACATACTAGTAGAGGCGATTAAGTGTCAGAGACAAAACGTGTGTTGAATATGTGTAGACATGTCGAGTCACCAAGTGTGGAGCCTCTGGTCTTGAAACAAGGCATATGATTTTAATAAAACATTGCCCTAGCAGCTTCATCACTTTCTATCTTCGCTGCTGTCATGGATATTTTGACTAACCAGAGCTCATATTGGAATGGAGGAATATGTCTAAGGCCATTAAGCGAAAATTCAACCTGTTCGTGGGTGTTATTGTCTGTCGATGCCATCGAGAACGTTAGTGAATTTCTAAACTCGGGTCAGGTCACGTGATAATATTATTATTGACTATTAATGTTGACTTTTGAAAAAAACTTCTTCTTCGCGTCACTAATTTGGACTAATATGCTTTATTAAGGCCTTAAAACATTTTACTGTATATCTCCTTTAAGGAACATGCTATCCAGTGTTTCATGGCATATGGCATTTACAAGGCTAACTGAAACATTTAAACAACAAAATCGTCAGTGTGGAAATTCTAGATGTAAATAATCAGAAGATCGGGGGTTGCAGCTCCCTTGCAGAAATAGTGGGCTAGTGAATGTACACTCTACGAAGGACATGACTACAATCATCATATACACTTTATTCCAGCTTAAACCCTACCTGCAACCATCCCAGCCAGGAGGGTCAGTAATAGTAAGCCTTTGACGTCCATGGTTGCCCTGAAAATGATAGGCTCCATATTGTGACATTCTGCAGATGGTCCCGTGACTAACACCTTTCTATCTGACAATAGATAAGACGAAATAACAATCAGACCATTTTGAGGACAGTGTTACTTTGATAACAATAATCCCAAGTACTGAAACCGGTTATTCATTATGGGGATTGTTTAAAAAAATCATGACGAATGTATATCGTTATTCTTACATTACAAAGAAAATAGCTAGCATGATTGTGTTTTCTAATGTGAAGACGTTAATAAGGATGATGCTATGGATGGTGACAAATTTGAATACACACGCGAGCTTTCTCCACAACACGGTTCTCATGGGTGAGATTGAGTATTTTCTTTGACGACCTTAGTGCTTGAATTGGAGATTTTATGTGCGCTTTCCGGTATTTTATGTAATGTAGTTATACATAGCTTCGAGTTTCAAAACAACATCATTATATATAACTAATCAACTTTAATCTTAAACACAGTGCTCACATTTCAAACTGGTAGACACTGCATACACTATAAAATCATGATAAGACTCTCCACGAATTCTTCAGTCCCACTGTACCGGTCTCTCTTCGACTTTGTGCTTGGCCAACAGTTGTGATACGGGTCGCATGAACTCGCGTCCCCTCGGCAGGCCAGGTTAAGCGATACTGCGTTTGCAAATACGTTCGAGTGCTTTGGCGACTTCGGCCGAATCTTTCGTCGTCAGCGGTTCGGCCTCTTTGTAGCAACTGGCGACATCCACGACGATCAGGACATACTTGTATCCTGTCGTGTGGTAGAAACAAGAGGTCGGCTTGATGCACTTGATTGGGTGTCGAAATATCGAATTTTCGTCTCGGGATGTACCGAGGTGCCGGCAGGTAGATTTGCCACAAGGCTTGTTTTTTAAGCCAAGGCGACGTCTTCGGAGACTCTGGCGGCTTTGGCGAGTTTCAGGATGGCCCCAGCGCCCTTTCAGTATCGGCGCGGGCTGTAGTAAATTTTCTCCATATTTGATTATTGGTTTTATTGTTTTAATACGTGTGTGTGTCCGTACGCATAAGTCGTGATGCCATGGTCGGCAATCCATCTCTTGGTGTCCATGGGAGACAGCGACGACTTGTTGATTTTCAGACCGTATATTGTGTGCTTGTCGCTACTCAGCATGTTCATTTGGTGTTTGAAGGACCGTTTCTCGAACAGCGCCTGTTTGAATCGATCGTGCCTGATGTGTTTTTTCACCACATTTTTTTTCATGCCTTTCGCCTTTCTGATTTGGTCGTCGTCGCCTTTCTTGATCAAATACAAGTGTTGCTGGTAGTCGGACAGCCAGTCTCGGTTCACCGCCAACCTCTCGGGAGCCATCGGGTAGCGGTTGTGCTGTCGATGTAACTCAGCGGGATAGTCCAAGTCATTCGTCACCACTCGCCCCTTTCCGTAACCTGCAAGAAAACTCGTCCCCCTCTCGATGCTTGTTATGTGCGAAAATACGACAAATACGAGCGTTAATGACTGCGGTGCTTTGGTAAAAATAATGCCGAGTACTTAAATCGTTTATGGCATTATGTCATTGTTTAAACAATCATGAAAAATATATATCGCCATATTGAAAGTACAAAGAACTTAGCTGACAGGAGTTTGCTGCCTATTATGGTTTTTTTGATAAGAATCATGCGATTGACTGCGAGAGATTAAAAAAAACGCACGTGCTTTTGTTTACATAACGGCTTTCATGGGTCCAACTAAGGGTGTTTCTGACGATCTTGCGGGCTTGCTATGGAGATTGTACGTGCGCTTCTAACAATTTTAGGAAATTCAATTATAAATTTAATTAATTAAAATAAGTTTCAAAACAATAATATTATATCTGCATGTAACTAATCAACTTTAATCTTTAACATTGGGCATATATTTCAGTTCTCTGGGAATATTTTAGTCTGACCTTCTTGTGGTCATTCATATATGTTTCAGCGAATTCAGTTAAAAGTCCACTTGTGGTATGACGGCAAGGTTACAAGTATGTTCAGTTTGAGAAATATCATTAAGAGACATTTTTTGAGTTTCTGCTTTGGGATTTAATGTAGCGGGTTTTTTACAACTTTGCATATTCAATAAAACAAATCCCATTTGTGATTATTAAACCCTTTTTCAGAAATATAATTGGAAATATAAGGTGAATATCTGGTAATAATAATATGTCTTTAACAAATATGGTTTTTTCTTTCTTTTAGTTGTATCAAGGAGGTTTAATTCTTTAGAATAAATAGCAAAAGCAAAAACAGCAATACAATGTATGAGTACTTCGGTGATATTAAGTACCATTGGAATCAAACAGGAATAGAGTTATCGTTCATGTTTGAAGTAGCCATCCACGTGCTTGTTGTTGGCTTTGGCATAGCGCCTGGCCGACATCCCGCCTCTCAAACCTTTCTCTACGAATAGGTGCATTTTCGTAATCCGTCAGCAGTTCCAATTCCACGCCGTTGTTTTCAACAAGGCCTCCCAGCAGCGCAGCACCGGAGCACGTCTGTTTTCAAGTAGAGATCGTGGTAGTCGCCGAAAGTCTTGCAGCCCAGTTTTCCCCACACGTTTGTCGCGTGCGAGTAATCGGCCTCGTTGATGCCCGAGTCAGTCAAGTGACTATAAAAGCATTCCATGGGAGGTAATCGTGTTTCGTCGAACCTGGACCAGTCCTCCATGTACTCGTACGGATAAACGCCTTTTCTCAGCAGCAGAGGCCGAGTCGCCGCGTCGGTGTATCGATTAGTTATGTGAAGGATTCAGGGTCGTTGGCATTCACCAGATCCTCCAGCGAGGAGAGCAAGAACTGGAAGCTGTCTATACATTTCAGTCCCTCCAGCTAGAACGAGATGTATTTCTCCATGTTGTTCGGGATGCAGTTTATGTTGCCTTCCATTTTCGAGATGGCTTGCATGATGAGATGAGTATCGTATTCCTGAAGATTGTGCGGCACCACGGTGATGGGTATGATTTTGGGATTGAGTTTCAAGTTGCACGCATTGTGCGCGGCGCCACTGTAACGACCGTTGACGTAGCAGTGATCTCTCACCGAATCGCCGTTGAGCGATTGTTTGCACACGTGGCAGTGAGTGGCATTCTCGTGAGCTCACCAGTCGTCCCGTGTCATGCACATGGGGATGATTCTGTACAAATGTTTCTTGTTGGTTTTTTCCTCACGTTGCAGGCAGGTGAGAACATTTTCGGCTGCATCCGGACCTCGGTAGATCACGGGAGGATTCGTTTTCCCGTCGTATCGGCCAATAACGTACCCAAACCCGCAGGCCTCATGTTCTTGTGTTTGCGAGTGAAACTCTAGTCGGTCGTGGTCGGCGTTGGCATTTTTGACGAGGGCCTCGAAGTCGGCTTAGATGATGTAGGGCACCGGCATTTGTTTCCTGTGGTTGATGAATTTTAAGATGTTGTTGTCTTCCTTGGGCATGTCGATTCTGATCGCTGTCTGCCCACACCCGAGGTCGGCGCGTGTGTAGCCATGCAGGCACCGCTCTCTAAAAGTGTTTCTTTCTGCCTTGTTTCGACTTGTTTCGGCATGTCACTTATTCTGTGCGATGGCTATTCGTTGATGGCTATGTCGTTTTGTTTTTTTACTTTGGCGATCTACGAGATGGGCGTGGCTTTGTCTATGCCGTCCCAGTTGAGCCGTCGTCTGTGGGATAGCACGAAGGTCTATCTAAATTAGCGGTTGCGGGAAATAAGAGAGATCTCAACGACCATCTCAAACAATCGTCATCCTTGTTTTTGACGTTGGTCATGGCCTGTTTTTTCTTGAAGTATGGGGGCAAGTCCAGGTACGAGCTGCCTTTGAGCGGTACGTAGTTTGCTATGTCAAAATAAACGGTATTTATGCTGCTCACCGTTTACCCAGAACCCATGTTTGTGTATCGTTCCAACAATTTTTTTAATTTTTGCAGCAATGTGCTGATGGTCGAATCGATGGAGTCGCATTGTAGCACGACTTCCTGTTTGCTTCGGAAATAAGACTCAGTGATTTCGACACTGCCGTCTGTAAGCTGAGGTCTCCAGCTCACTGCTTTAACTGCTTCACTGTTAAGGGCTTGACGAATTCGACGTTGAGTAAGCTCAACTGAGTAATATAAATAATAGCCGAAGGCAGCGATGATTTCGAAATGGACGATTTATTCACGCTGCCACCCGATGATGATGTTGATGATGGTGCGGACACCCCATTCATCGGCAGCGCTGTAAGAAATGAAATCTTAAAGACGACCATTGCGAGAAACTATACAAAAGACGTGCCACAACACGCACGAGAAGCATCGACAAAATATTGCGCACGTACCCAGTTTCGAATTTCCCGTCAGGGAACTTCCCAGCGGGCACACAACGTTGAATCAACGTTGAATCAACGTTGAATTTTGGTTGTTTGGTTGATCAACCTTTCATAAACGTTGATTCAACGTTTATCATGCGACCAAAGAAAGTTAGTCGAGATTCGTTTAGTTGTCAACGTTGTTTCAACGTAAGGAACCAACAAAATGTCAGCTAATTGTTTCCTTGGCAAATTTGATACATAATTCATATTGGTAATAGGTATCCAACTTAGCAACTATCATTTGGGAACATTAATTTCATAAAAGATCAAGATCGAGCTAGTGACAGATATAATCTTATATATTGTTTGATTGTGCATCGATCAACGGACGGAAATATTACGTAAATCGCAATGATTTTAGGTATAAAGTCATCAGTTATCCGAATTGCATTACATTTGATATTTTCCCACAAAACTGTCAAAATTGTATAATTCCCAACAATTTGCTTTCAAACACATGTCAGATGTTGACCTTTCGATCGCCTCGTTTGGCCATATCCGGACATGCGCACAATTATCGCGCGCGCAAAGGCAGCTGATCGTTGTCAGTTCATTTTGGCGAAGTTCCACGCAATAATGCCAATATCGTTCTATTTTCAACATCTTCACGGCGTGCTGGTGTTTATTTGGTAAGTATGTCCTTCATGTATAATGAAAACGTAGGAATGTTGTTTAAATCTAGC